GTGCCAGATTCCTCTCTAATTGGTGGGACGGTGTGTTGCACCAGTTAGCAAATCAGTACCAACCTCTATCATGTCATAAGCAGTGACTGCAATCCCAGTTGTTCACAGGCTATTTCTTTCTGTTTTCTCAGCATCTTCTCTAAACAATATGCTAGTACATCTTATTTTTGTTTCATTGATATAAATTTTTTGCCGCATGTGAAGGCTCTTACATGATATTTTAAAAAAATCATTAAATGCCTCACCTATGCAGAAACTTGTTCGAGGCAATGCAAAGTGTGACCTGGCAGAAATTGTTCCCTAACTCTGGAAATTAGTTTTCTGCTGCAGAATAGATACAATGTCCATGACAGTGAACAGGTTCATGATTTAAATAAGTGTTAAAACATATAAACACACATGTATATGATACAAAAACGAGAATTACAAAAACATTATTTTCAACCTCATTCGTAAATGGAGTTAAGGGAATTTTATAAATTAATGAGATTTACTTTTATGTATCTCATAAAGGGACATTTTATTACTTCCTAATATATGTGCAATTATTTATGGATATGTATGCAGCTGATCTGTTTTAACAATCACCAATCACCTGAATCAACTAACATAAATGAGACACGAAATATGTAAAAAAATTGTAAAAATATACTAAATTTGGGCCGGCCCGGTGGCGCACTGCTANGTACGGGGGCGACACTGAGGGTTGCGACCCGTTGCCAGACACGGAAAAAGACAAAAAGGAAAAAAAAAATACTAAATTTTAGTTAAATATACATTGTCTACCATAAAATTTGTGTAAATGCTAAAAGCACAGTTCAAATTTAATTATAATTTTTCACGAAGTTTGTTTGCTTGCCAAATTACATAGCCCTGAGAAAACATATTTCTTAAAATGACACACACACAAAAATTCTAGCAATGGGAAAATGATTTATTTACCTGGATCTTCTATAGTTAAGTTCTTTATTAACCATTGAACAATGTCTGACCCTAGAAAAAGAAAAAAGAGAAACACAAATAGATATGAACATTATGCTTACACATGTTAACTTTCAGAACTCTGCACTTTGGTACTCACATTAGTAGGAACATTTCTAATTGTTACAATAACAGGTTAAGGATCTACTACAGATGGAGTACTGACAAGAGAGTGTAAATACACAGGTTTTCTTCAATGAACCAAGGCACAAACTAGTGAATTATTAAATATGAAATATTTAAACATAAAGAATTAATATACTATCAGTAGATAAAGTGATTCACTCGTTGAATAGATGTTCATTGAGTGCCAACTATGTTTCAGGCATAATTCTTAACTTGGCATAACCAGTGCTTTTAAAAATGGTCCCTGTCTCATTTCTGGTTGTCCCCACCCCATCTTTGTATCTACTCTCAAGTCAAGACAAATTTGTTTTTGGATTTTGAACTCTGCTCTGTGTTTCAAGCCTCTCTGTCTTTATAGCACTATTCACTCTGACTTAAATATCTTTCACTATTTTCAAGATGCTCAAGATTCACTGACTCAACAGAGCTTTCCTTTCCCTTCACCTTTGTTTATTGAGTTTGCAGCACATTCCATGAAGTCTCACTGGAATCCAAGGTAAGTAAGCACCTTAAAGCAGGCTACAATATGCATTTTTGATTATTTGGAGCATAGCAAGTGCTTATAACATATGGTGAATAAAAAACGTGAGTGAATATGTTTTCACTTCATATGGAAGAGATGAGGAAGGGTTTGCAGAAAACATAATGTTTGATCTCAATTTTGAAGGATATATTTTGAGATAAGAAAAAAAGAAATTTAGTTGCAGAAGAGGCCTATATAAAGTTAAAAGGTGAAATACAGTCAATAGAAACCATTTATTGCAAACTCTCTATATCCCTAGGTGCTGCAAATAATAGTAACTTGTAAATAATAAGAGTTCATGGTGCATTCAGCAGGTCTTGAATTCCAGGCTATGGAATTTGNTGTAAATAATAAGAGTTCATGGTGCATTCAGCAGGTCTTGAATTCCAGGCTATGGAATTTGTATTTTTTTTTTCCTTATAAGAAAGGCAGAGAAAGAGACATGAAATGTTTTTGAGCAGAAGAATGATGTTACCAAAGCAAGAGTAAGGAATTTGACAGGAAACGTAGGTATTATGCCTTAGGCTAGTCAGAAAGAAATCAGGGCAGTCAACATTTCTGCTGGTTGTGATCCAGAATTCAGGAATAAGTTTCTGAAATAGTACAAATGATTTAAAACAAAATTAGAGACTTATTTTAGGACTTTGTGACTAATTAGGCATGAGGGTGGCAAGTAGGGGGATTCAAAGAGAAATCAACGTTTCCAGCCCAGGAGCATAAATAATAGAATGGTGAAAACGTGAGCAGAAATGGGAGACTCAGGAAAAGGTGTTGATTTGCTTGAGATGCTCAATTCTATTTAAATTTAGTGTTTGGCATAATTAATTTCAACATAAAACATAAAATATGTATGTGAATTGTTACATACACATCGTAAGCTATTTCATGTCTATATGAATGAAATTTCAATGTGAACTGAGATTCCATCTCAGCGTCTCCTGGAGACTGGCTGAAATTGCTACCTACCTACTTCAGAGATCTGGCAAATTAATTACATTAACAATGGCGAAATAATTCTAGCTGCTTGATTTAAAATAGTTCAAAACTAACTTCAAAATAAACTTGATTATCAAACTTGATGATCATGTCCTAAAAGTTATAGAAAGACTCATACCCAACATCAATTTCAATATGCATGCATTTTAAAAATGACTTCAAGTGTTGAATCTAACTTGTGTTTTTTCATAATTGTTCCTTTTACAGCTGCCATTGATTTAAATACATTTGAGGAGATAGATT